GCGGCAGTTCATCAAAACAATGGCCGGAAACATGGTTTTACAACAAATGTAGCGCAGTTGATAATACGCATAATATTCCACGTGATATAAAATCAATCATCTTTTATTTATTTTATTTTATGATGATGCAACAGGATGTTGTTGACTATTCTTAAGAAAAGAATGCTTCGGTGGTTTCGTCATGTGGAAAGAATGAACGAGGAAAGTGACAAGGCAAATCTATGTTGCAGATGTGAACGGCAGAGTCGAGAAGGGGCGCACTACACGAAAGTTTATTGAAAATGGGCCAGATTTAGAGTACCGAAATGAGAGAGGTGTGTCAGGGTCATGCTAAATGTAAGTCCGTAGTCTCTGCCTTCACCTCAGGGTGACAGAGGTGAGTATTTATTTCTTATTTATATTACATAGTACCCGGATGATCGAGCTCTGCTCGGACTTTTTTTTGAAATTACATTTATAAATTACATACTGATGAAACATAAATAATATTTTTGATCTTATTGACAGAATAGAAAAAACTGAACTGGTTATTTGAATAAAAAATCATGAGTGCAATTAGTTTTATTAAAATTTTCGTATTTTTAAAAAATACTAAAAAAGGACTTGAAATAATAGATTTTCTCACAAAAGAAAGGAACTTGAAAAAAAAGGAAAAAAGCCGAACCAGAGATAGGACGCGAACCACGGAACTCAGATATCACGCCCGACCGACATTCCCACCTGAGCTATTACGATCGTTATTGATCTGTCAAAATTTACCTTCTTATATTGTAGCAGTTTTTTTTATTGCCTGAAAACACGGACAAAAGAACATTTTCTAAAAATAAATCCTAGCTAGATCGATTTATTACCCCCGAAACTCCCTGGACACTAAATTTTATGAAAATCGTTGGAGCCGTTTCCGAGATTCCGATTATATATATATCAAGAATTGCTCGTTTAAAGGTATAGGATAAAATCTACTTGCTCGTATTTTGGGTTCTGATTAGCCACCCGAAACAAAAATTCCCAGAAAAACAGGCCTAAAGAACAGAAAACCTGTGCCAGTTGACCTCCTAAAGTGAACCGCAAATCGAATAACCATTATTATACGTGCGAAATACATGTGTTCTTGCACTATGCAAAACATATATGTACTGCCAATAAAAAATACCAAAGTTTGACAATTATTAGTTTTGTGAAATGAGACGTGATTTTTTTGAATTCGTTGGTACATATCTTAACTTTATTCTATCTCAAGTCTAACTTTTAGATAATAAAGACTACATGGCTTATGATTGCAAGTTCCCAATTAAAAATGATATTAAAAGTATTTGTTCTAATTTATCACATTTTTAAAGACTTGTTACGGCAGCGGCCTGTCAGACCGCTTAACAAGCGGTTACACAAAAACCATGTCACTAGTCAAAGGTTAAAGGAAAACGTAATAGCCACGCTTTAAGAATGACTAACACTAACAGAAACGATTTTCGATCTTATAACCCTCCGTCTCATTGTATTTTATAATTCCAAAATAGTTGACACGTTTGATGATTTATCAATATTTATATTTTTTCTTATTTCGATACAAAATAATATTCACCCCACAATTATTTTACGTGTTTTAAGGTTTTATATAATAAGGAAGAACTTTTATATTATTAACATTCAACGTTGTAAAAGTTATTGTGTATCTACTTTCAAAAATTAATTATACGTAATAAACAGTAATACTACAAATGACATCAAATTTAATTAAAAAAATAAGCGAAACAGATTTAAATGCCGAATACTTCATCCGTTACGAATCACATAACATTTATTTAGGAACATAAACATTTTACAAAAATATTTTCGTTATTTGGTTCTATTTATATACTATTCATTCTGATAAGTTCAGTTAAAAACAAGGGATGAGACGACTGAAACCTGCAAGGACCTTATTAAAAAATAATTAACTATCAATATTCCATTCGAAGCGATCTCTTTTACTTTTAACCCAAGCCTAACTTGCTTAAGTATAATAAGTTATATATAAGTAAGTAAGATTACTCGTCAGTAAAGGACATCGTAGACGTTTCACAACTGTAAGGTCTTTAAACTGTGACAGTACATTGAAAACGAGATTTCAAGCTTTTAAATTGACTGTTGAGTGTGGCAACTCTAAAGGTAAATATTATACTGAGTCATACAATACTCGTGAATAAAATAATACGTTGTACCTTTACACTCTATTCGTATTATACTTAAGCAAGCATAGTATAATATTATGCCTCACTTTCTGGTAGATCTAAGGAGTATAAGGCATTACATTAGAAAGAGGCACATATACCCCCTCCCATAAATTATGTATAGTACTGTTACTACTGTTGTTGCAATCATTAAATATAAAAATAGATCTTCTTATCGTAGTCAAGATTAGCGCAAAATGGATAAAACTACCAATTGTTATTTAGATGTAGCGATGTTTCTATTATCTATGATTTTCAACTTAATTCTTATAACATAAAACATATTCGCTACAATCACAACGTAATACATTTTCTAAGCTTTCACAAAATCAGAAACATTACAGTGATACCAACATACACATACAAATCGGTGTCCTTGCACGTGCCAAAAAACAGTTTGCAATAAACTATTATTCTCTTTAATCGTTATAAACGAATGTAATTAATACATCATGCACTGACATATCTAAGGTTATACTACGATATATATAATTTTTCACAGGTTGGTAATAAACATCTTAAGCAGTTATATACACCGTTTAGTTATTGCTTTCGTTTATTGTAAACTCAATAAATATATAACCTTATAGTCGATGCCATAAATATACATTTATAAATTAAAATACCGACAGTAATGATGGAAAGTTTATGAAGTTTGATCAATATATATGTAATTATGAAAATCGGCAAATATTATTCACATGAATTTCGAATCCACGGGAGGTCTCGCGAGGGACTATGCAGTACGCATATAATACGTGTAAGAGGGACGCGGAAGTGGGTCGGGGAGGGATCACGTAGCTGTGAGTGCTACATCCGTATACAATACACATGCACCTGATTCGATACGTTCAGAGAGATTCAAAAGATTTTGTTTGAAAAATATTGCAGTTGTGTAACACTTTAACACAGACTTTTTTGGCAAATAATGCTATAATTTGGTCAAACATTTTATGTATTTCATAATTTAAGTTGAAAAAAAAATACACAAGTGACCAGTGATTTCGTACAAGCGGTTAATTACTAAGATATCGTTTGTAATTCATATCTCAGATTACTTCGTTGAGGAATTATAATAACATGCATTCGATATTTCGATTTTTTTTATAAATAAGTAATTGTTTTTACTGAAAACGTGTATTTATTCCTTATCCCTGAGCAGGCAAAATTGTAATATTTATCTCCATTAACTCTGACATCACACATATTTCTGTGTAATAGTTTTTTATTGATTTTTCTAGCAGTTAAAATATAAAAAATAATTACCTTTACACAATTTAATACAGAATTTGATAATGTAGATAATTATGGGCGATCTAAGAGTGCAAATAAGGCATCTCAGAGATTTTCAGATAGTTAAGTAATAAACAATTATATTTAGTATAATTAGAAACAATGCAAGGAAGAAAAAGAAAATATATTCTCAACTAAAATGCAAGTTTTACTTAACATATTATATTAGACTATGTGTTTTAAATTTATATGGTTTTAAAACGGTCGTGTTTTATGTAAAAAAAAAGAATTAAATATAGAAATGAAGACCGATGTCAATAATTAAAAATTATTATCAAAATGCAGGGATAGTTTTTGTAATGAAGTTTGTTTCCGTACTTTGAATTGAAGTTCACTGGCTAGATTATTAAAACTGAGATTTAAAAAAAATATCTATAGACATTTGACATTGTATTCATTTTATAAGAAGTTATAAATCATTGTAACATGTCATTTAAAAAAAAATACCCTAGAGTTTCTTGAGAATATCTTATTTTTGAGATTTGGTGTAGATTTTGACGTTCCTAAGAATTATACACAAATCTAAATTGAATAAAAAGTTTTGACTTTGACTTTCAATTCTAACGTATAAACTTCATAAACTTGTTAGTTTGCTTTTACTGATACAAATTTGAAGTACATTATTAATTCCAATAATCCCAATATACACCTTAAGTAGCCAACAAAATAGTTTGTTTATTAATTTTCTGGTAAATGGTAGTTACGTTAATATTATTAACATAGGAACATTTTAATGCCAGCACATATATATAACTAAATGTTTTCTTATTTGCACATTTAAAATTTGTTAAATTTCAATATAAGTTTTAGTAAATAATTCGGCATGTTTATTCTCGAAGCAAGTAAGTGGAGAAAGTAAAGTCTTTCATAATTTATCGCAACAATTTATTTAGTTACCCAGTGTTATATTTAGTTTAACCCGACAAAGAAAATTTGTATATATTCGTATTTATATAGGTATATTCGGTGGCATCTTCTTCCTCAGAGTTATTAAACAAAAAACCGTTAATTTTTTTAATTTATTCAATATGGTACACATTTTACTATTTTATTGATTTCAGAATCGCGCACATATTAATAACATCTGTTTTCGCGATAAAACTTGGTGCATAACTAAAAATTTATGTTATCAAACTGAAAAAATAATAAACAGTGATTAATAATTCTTTTATACTGAATATACAGCAGCGCACTTCCCAGTATATAAACGCAAAGTCTTTAATACAACGCCCACGAAACTTGAATAACGATCCAAAACTCTTTTCCTCTATCAAATATCTACCACAATGTACGAATCTCGTAACGTTTTGAACACTAAACAAACTCGCATATAAACGTTTCACAACTAACACTATCTCGTTTCCCTAAACACGAACACCAAAACTTAAAGCATGAAGAAAAACTAATCATTCTTTGAGACTAAGATATCGAATTTGTTCCTAAATGTATTAGTACAGAGTTTATTACTTAACTTAACTTATGAGTTTAATTACTATGTTATGAAGGCGCACTTGATGACATCTCCACGCTTACAGCAGCTGGAACTTGCATCTGAAATTAAATTATTAAAATATTAATTCTTAGAACATCCATTCGTTCATTCATTCATTTCGCTCATTTAGGTCCACTGCTGAGTACAGACCTCTCAATAGATTGCCTCAGGGGGATATTTGCCATAGTAACCACGTTTGGCCGGCGGGTTAACAACAGTAGGTTTTTATTATATAGTTGTTATTAAACAGATGCTAGAGCCCATTTCCTGGTTTTCCTAGAAAAAAAAACTCGTGCGTTTGTCTTCGAAGGTCTAGTTATTTTGCCCAAGTTAGGCTTATTTCGTATAAAGAGATAAATACTATAGAGCGGACATTGGGAACATTTGCATTATGGAGTGTAGAGGTAAGGAGTACAGACTCTGTATAAAAAAATGTCCGTAGGAAAGCGTTAAATAAGGGTGGCGCCACTGTAGCTACAGTCTAAATTTTAAAGAACTTTTATAATGTTTTTATTGCACAGACTTTCACCATAATTCTTTTTAGAATAATTGTTTTATTGCTTTCAAAATTTTTATTTTCAAAATCACTCTCAACATTTTACGGCGATTTATCCTAACCCTGCAGCTACTCGAGCGCTTTTGTGGAGAGTTTTTGAACTGTTATTTACTGCTTACGGATGGACACATTTTCAACTATTCTCCTATGGGAAATTGTCCTCCTTACCTCTATGCTCCATGATTTGCATACAAAAACTGTCAGCTCGCGCGTGTGTTACGCCCTCTAGCGAAACATAGCAATACTACGCTGAATATTTATTAGGAAAACATTTTAGCTATTACCCACTAGGTGACGCTACTAAATATAAGGTTAAAATCCGTTTTAGGCACGTCGTCAATCACTAACATATTTGTAAATAAATAGTGACATTACTGGGTAACAGAGGGTGCTTATTACAATAATAATAAATCTTCTAGGACAATCCACTATAAATAATTTGGTAAATATACATTATTCTTACGATAATAAACTGAAATTACGTTCATTTTTTGCTACATATCGTCACTTAAAATACCTATAAATACACAACCGGAAATATTTTCTTTAATAAAAAAAAATTTAACTTATGAAACGAATGCGCGTCTTGACCTTTTGACGATGTCACTAAGACTAAATGAAAAAATCGGAGATATATCCTATAGGACAAAAGCTACAGACGACAATTTTGTTGCTGATGTCCGGTATATTACTACTACTTAAATGTCTTTAATTTCGTATTATAACAACAACTACAGTGGTGATACAAGTGATACAACATTGCTCACATGCTATGAAATTTGGTCGAGCGCTCTCCAACCCGTCATGAAACATTTAACACGTCCATTACTAAAATAAGAATAAGACGGTTTATCAAAAATCCACAGCTAGTTATAATCGCCCTTCCTCATAGATATAGATTTTGCCATGCCACACTTAGCAGGGTTCGTAACTGCAGTTTTTGTTATTTACCGCCGTGTAGTGACCAATGTAAAAGAATTCACTACTCTATATCCCTATTCTATAAAAAAAATATCACGCTGTTGTTGTAAGAGGCAACTGAGGTAAATCGGCAGCTGCATCTATCTGATAACAACGTACGATTAAGAAATTTCAAATTCGTATACACGTGAGATCCATTAACGCAGACTGGAGTAGCTTTTTTATAGAAGAAGGGTGACAAACGAGCATACAATCCACGTGATGGTAAGTGGATGCTGCAGTCTATAGATATCTACATTTATCTTCAATTTAGAATCAAAATGCCGATGCGTTGCCAGCTCTGAGGACTGAGATGGAATGTCTCGTTTCCAGTAAAAAGGGTGTCCAGTTCTCTACACTCACCATACAAAACACAGCAGCATTAAGCTGCTATTTTACGCTGGTATTCTGTGAGAGACTACCTTATAAGTTGGGGCAAGTACCAGCTGGAGGAGATATTGAATATCTCACTACAAAATTAATTAAAGTATCAGTTCAATATGCTGATACCTTCAGATATCCAATGTGTACAAGGTTATACTTGTTTAGTAATCTCTTCTCTTTTTGTAGCCTAAATGCTATGAAAACAATTAATCGTGTACGTTGAGTTCTACATGAATTAGTTTCAAGCGCACTACCTAACTATAACTAACTAAATAACTACTAATGATTTCTTATATTTACGCGAACACTAGACAATGGGTGCGTTTGGCAGAAAAAAGCGCTAGCAAGCGTTTGTAAGCAAAATGGCGAACGTAAGCGGTAAGTGCTGTCAAATCGTAAGTAGCTATTTTCCTCTAGGACACGATGTTAGCTTTAACCGGGGAACCTAACCTAATTTAAATGTATGTTAGTAAAGTATTGCATATTAAAAACTTACCAATCATGAATTTTTAATAACATGTATATGTTTATTCATGTCATTATATTAGTTAAAACTAATATTGCACAAAACAACTTATAAACTCTACTTCCGTAAAACAAACAAATTAAATAAGCAAAATGGCGGATTGTGTCAGCGCTACTGAAGTAGCGATCGTGTCCTGGCCGAAAACTATTTTAGCGCTTGTAAGCGTTTGCTAGCGCTTTTTTCTGCCAAACGCACCCATTGATTAAAACTACTTTTACGGATTTTATCGCGTCTTATTTTAAAGCACCCATGGTCACGGGCGACTGAGATGACTGACGTCCCGATGACATTGTTAACCCGGAGTAAAAAAAAAGCTGAAGGTACTCGAGGTTTAACAATGACATCCGGACGTCTGTCATTTCAGTCCCCCGTGACCATGGGTGCTGGAAAGCACCCGAAACGTCGGGAATTAAAAATAATTAAAATTAAACGCGATAAAATCCGTAAAAGTAGTTTTAATCAATAAATAACTACTATTTTTTAATATAGGTACATATATTTTTATAAAAGTAAGGGCGAGCACACAGTCCATCTGATGGTAAGTTACTGCGACCCATAGACATCTACACCTATCCTCTATTAAGAACGATAATACAGATGCATTGAATACCCTTCGATGAGCCATTCATTGTTAGAGATTATTATATTAACTTTATAAATTAAAGAGCATCTAAGATTTTTTCTGCCACCAAGCGCCACTTACAAATTAGGTGGAATATTTGAGAAATTTTATAGTGGGGAAGTTCATTTGTTCGAAAAATAAAAAGGCAAGGTATATTTTTTTTCTGTACTATTATAGTCAACCAAATCTAAGAAATACATTTTGACTGCTGTCAGACTTATTGCATCAAGCATGCCAACCAAAAAATGGGAACGTACAATATTCGATTCTTAAAAAAATCGATATCGATTATTTAGAGTTGGTAATCATTTACAGTTTGGTTTGAATAATACCGGAATAAATTAAAAACGGATAATTTAAAACACAAGATTTATCAGTTATTTCGTATTTGTTGTTACTGCTTATTTCTAGAGGCACAGTTATAAAAATTTAAGATTGAAACTATATTAAAAATAAATTTATTCAATAACTTTCAGTACAACTAGTAGAGATGTCGTTGTTTATATTAATTATTATTAAATTTTCAATAATGCGGTCAATATTGATGTCTCTTTCAAAGTCATCCATAATCAATTTTTTTTTTGTTTTTTCTACCACTTTTGCCCAATCATCCTTCGTGACATGGGCACATGCTTCAACGAATATTTTTTTATAGCATTGGGTGACAAACGAGCACACAGTCCACCTGATGGTAAGTGGATGCTATGGCATATAGGCATACACATTTATCCTCAATTAAGAATCAAAATGCAAATGCGTTGTCACCCCTGAGGACTAAGATGGAATGCCTCGATTTCAGTAAAAAGGGTCTCCGGTTCTCCACACTCACCATACGAAACACAGCAGCATTACGCCGCTATTTTACGCTGGTATTCAGTGAGAGCGTGGTCCTGCCCTGGTTGAGCCGACCCATTCGTGCTACAACTATAATATAGATGTAGCGTGGCTCTACCACGTACAAAAAGTTATTATAGAAGAAAAAGTCTAAAAAGTTAAAGCCGAGTCAAAAAATAAGAAAACAAAAACAAAATTACAAAATTGTGCACAGTAAGCTCTCGAAACAGAAACGTAAACTTTTTTATTCAATATAGATTATGAATAATACTTATTGAAAGTCACTTTTTTCATTTACCACTGGTTCGGGAAAAATCTTCTATCTTGGGAAGAACCAGTAAGAAACCCAACGGGACCAGTTTTTTTTTAAATAAATGCTTACAAGCATACGTGTTACAATTAACAACACAAAACAAATTAGAAATAGCTTGGTAGCGATCACCCTTCCCAGGGGTGATTATCATACATAATTTCCTTAATATTAAAGTAATCCTTTTTATACAAACTTGGTTTATGAAGTTCTTGAACTTTGTGTACTTACGTCAAATTTTGTATATTTTCTGGGATTTTATTGTAAAAGCGTATACATTGCCCCAAGAATTAATTACTGTGTGTGTGAAGTCGAGTAACTGGTACCGAAATGGCGGGATATTGAAATTATGTAGTGGTTATTTTAGCACGGCCATGTATGTATATGAGTTTTGTGCCTACACAATTTTACTTTGACAAAGTAAAAAAAATAAACTTGTTTTATTCATGATTCGTGTAATTTAAGGAATTTTGAAAATAAAAATTAAACTAAACAAATAATAGATTAAAGAAATTTTGCCGATTATTCACATAACAATGAATTTTAATCATCCAAACACTACGGTAATAACATAGCACCATATCATTGAAACGACGTCAAGTAAAAAAGTTAATATTGGTAATTTTTTAATATTTTGCTTTGTTTGAAAAATTCAAATTTAAATTAGTGACAAAAAACTATGTTGTACACGTTGTAATGAAATATACTTAGATAACTTCGTAATTCTTCGGATTTACGTAAAAGGTTATTTTAAATCGTGTGAGTACGCTTGTGCAAAATTATTGCGGAATGATTAATGTGAAACGTCAAAAGATATTTCTTATATTTGGTTGACTATAGTTATATTTTAAATTAATTAGATTAAAA